ATTCCACAGCCTCAATTAATCACGTCTACTTCCATTTATGAAACGCTCATCACAGCCACGAGTAGCAAAGTCCTTAAGCTAACATTTGGTGCAAGAACTGCCTACACTACCTTATTTTCCACCTCTGTTGTTCCCACAGCAGTCTCGAAACTGGTAACAGCTACGATTCCCATTCAAAACTCTGGGTCATTCCAAAACTTCTATCCTCCCCCATATCCCCCATTCGCATATGTTGGTTAAAGTTCTTGAATTTATTGTTTGTCCAAAGTACAACAAAAATTGAATAATACTCTTAAAAGTTAAGTACTTACAAGGTTTGGTTCTCATTATTAGGGCATGCAGACTAAGTGAGGTTAGACGAATTTCATTAACACAATGTACAGGAATCGGATTACCGAGCTATGAACCTAAAATACAGTAAAGCGTGTAACGCAAAAGTTGTTTATTTTTTTTCCACATACATTTTTTGAATATATTTTCCTACATTCGAAAACACTTTCCAAGCACATGAGTATAAGAAATATATAGATTAATATAGTATTCACGCATATATGTATATGAGGCTTAGCCATACAAGTTGTTGACTATTTCGCAAAAATTCGGAAACATACGCCTCCGAAAACTAAAACAACAATCCATGTGAAACATTTACTTCATTTAATGTCTTTTATTTTTCATCAGTAAAAGATCTTTATGATATATCATATGTCATCATAAAATCTATTTGATATCGAAAATATCATATGATTGAAAATCAATATTATTTTTCATAGAAAACATACTCAATACATCAAAATTAAAATAATATTTTATTACAACAAAAATAAATCGGTACCAAGCTTTGGGTATCCAACTAAGCTTTTCACTACTTGAATTTCACAAAAATTGAGAAATTAGGCACAAACAAAATTGATTATTGTTAAAAAAAAAAAAAACTTTCAAAATAATAATGTTGAATCAAAATCCTTAATTGTGTGCAATCATAAAAATATAGACATTTTTGTTTAAGGACAAGAAACTGTTGATTTTGGTTTATATTTAAAAAATACAAATAAAAAAATGTAAATTCAATTTTGTATACCCTTTAGAATTCACATATCCTGTATTGTAAAAAAGTTCTTTTTTATCCAAAAAGTAAAATTGGTTTTGAAAACACATTGAGACACAACAATTTATTTATTTTATACTTAAAGGTATCTGCAAGACTAAAATTAAATAAATGCCACAGTAAGTAAATAAGCTTTTTGTAAAATCCCATTTATATTCATTTGTAAAATAAAACTTGGTGGCCGTTACAACTAAATGTATCTAAGCCACTACTTGGATGCCAATAAGAAGCCAATTTCCTCAATCTTCGAAAAATATTGTTTTAGGAACTAATTGAAGAAGTAAGTCAGGAATATGCTGAAATATATAAGATAGAAAATCAAAGATAAAATAATATTGTATTTACTTTAAACTGACTACAGTTGGTGGTCCAAATCAGCGAAATTCATATTACGAATAATTGTGGGAGTAATCGATATATCTGAACACATGGTCAGATCCAATCGATGTATCGCCTGATTTGATCATCGCTAGTTTTCTCATTTATATTTTGCAACTTTCGGTTTTCTTGCATAATTTGAACTTGCGCCGAAGTCCAATAACGTTCATTAAATAAAACGCTCGCTAAACTATGCAGTGCCCGTTCCTGAATCGTTTTAGTGCAAATTATCTACGCAATTATGCCGAGATATTGTACCAATCGTATGGAGTGTTCTGTCCAGTTATCAGCAAATCCAATAAGACAACCCAAAAACAACTTTCTCTTTTAACACCAATTCCAAATTCTGTGAAGTCCGCAAGGTCATATTCTTCGAAAAGCTATTCGGTTGGTGCTAGCTCGGCACTAAATGATGTAAGACGTGGCCGTGGGAACGAAATTGGCACAGCTGCAGAAAATTCAACTTTCCAATACGAGAAGTTTTTCAATGAGCAAATATTAAAAAAGAAAAGAGATCATTCATATCGTGTTTTTAAACGTGTGAATCGCTTAGCTGGTGATGGCCTCTTTCCTCACGCCCTCGATTACTCCTCGCAGTCTGAGAAACCCATTACCGTTTGGTGTTCCAATGACTACCTGGGAATGTCGGCGCATCCCAAGGTGAAGCATGCTGTCAAGGAGGCATTGGAAAGGCATGGATCTGGTGCTGGGGGAACACGTAATATATCGGGAAACTCATTGCATCACGAGCGACTTGAAAGGAAGCTTGCTGATCTCCATCAAAAGGAGGCGGCGCTGCTCTTTACCTCTTGCTTTGTGGCCAACGACTCAACCTTATTTACGCTTGCGAAATTACTGCCGAATTGCCACATATTCTCGGACTCTGGTAACCATGCTTCTATGATTATGGGCATACGAAATAGTGGCGTACCCAAGCACATCTTTCGTCATAATGACGTCAATCACTTGCGCCAATTGCTGCAACAAGTGGACAAGGCGACTCCGAAAATCGTTGCATTCGAGACCGTGCATTCCATGACTGGTGCAATATGCCCATTAGAAGAGTTGCTCGATGTTGCGCATGAATACGGAGCTATTACCTTTATTGACGAAGTCCATGCGGTTGGCCTATACGGCGACCATGGCGCTGGCGTCGGGGAACGTGATGGCGTGCTCTCTAAAATGGACATTATATCGGGTACCCTAGGCAAGGCATACGGCAACATTGGTGGATATATAGCCAGCACTGATGCACTGGTTGACATGGTGCGATCTTATGCTGCTGGCTTCATATTCACTACTTCATTGCCGCCAACTGTTCTCTGTGGTGCACTTGAAGCTGTTACCATACTGGCCTCGGAGGAAGGTCGACAACTGCGAAGTATCCATCAACGAAATGTTTCGTACTTGAAGAATCTGCTCAAACGAGAAGGTAAATTTGCATTTTGAAAATTGTATATTCTATCGGCACTCATTAGCATTTGCATTAGCATACGACTGAAGTAAATAAATTCGGCTCAACAAGCTGAGTCAT